GAGGACCGAGAATGATGATGAGGATAGTGATGACGATGATAATGATGAGGATAACGATGACGATGTTTATGATGAAAATGATGCTGCTGCTGCTGGTTATGATGATGCTAGGTTGTAATGATCGTGATGATTATGATGATCATGGTGCTGATGATGAGGATGAGGAGGGGAATGGGGAACTCCGCGTCCCTATCTTATTTGTGATTATCTCTTTCTACTTGCTCCTCCCTCCTCCTCGAAAGGGTCGAGGGAGGAATATACAACGGCGAAGAGGACGAGGAGGAAGGGAGGTACGTAGGAAAACAGAAAACGGAGGAGGACGGAGGATGGATTACGGCAAAGGATGGAGGGAAGGAAAAGGACATGCCTCCTGGAAGGTCAAGGCCCCCCCCCCATTGGCGCAGAAGGCCGCGTGCCGGCGTCCTGGGCTATCAGCTTGTACCTGGCCAAGGGCCGTCTTGCCTGCCACCGCGCGAGGGCATCTGCTACCTCCTCCATGTGCCCATCTTCTCCCACCCCGTCCTCGTGCTCCTATAGAAATGTTCCACCTCCCTGAAAATATGGGGGGGACCTTTGCCCCTGAATGCGGCTGCAGCTTGAGCCAACTTGCATCGGCCGACGCACGCGGGGCGGTCCTAACCAAGTCGCGTCCGCTACGTCTCTAGCTATACTACAAGAGTGCATCCTTCTCACCCAATCACCAGAGACGGGGGAGAAGAAGGTTGCACAAACAAGTAGCCGGCGCAAAAACGGATAGGCAAGGGGCCGGATCTCCAACCCAGCAAGGCACGTGCGCAACTTGCACGGGCAAAAGGGACATACAATTTAGCCGTAGACGTGCAGGGGCTTCCGAACACACGATACACTATGTTTAAGTGTAGACGAGCAGGTGTAGACGAGCAGGTGTAGACGATACACTATGTTTAACATCTGGTCAAGTAGGTGTAGACGAGCACCTGGTTCTCAACCGATCCTGAGCTCAAATCTCCGGCCACATGGAACGTAATAGTAACCCGAACACGGGTCAAGCTACTACTCTGTAGCAGGTGCCAGCTCGGGTCTTCCGCTAACAGCATGTTGATGTGTACCTCGCATGTCCATGGGGATGTCGTTCCTGCTCACATATCTGGTTAACGCATCTGCAAGGTTCCCATGGGTTCCTACTTTGACCACTTTGATGTATCCTCTTCGTACATTCTCTTGTGACCACAACCGGCAAACCTCGATGAGTCTGCCTTTCCTTGTCCTCGCCGGCTTGCGATGACAACGTCCGCGCTAGCATCGTTCCGTAACGCGATGCCACAATCAACGTTGAAGTCTGCGAACACCGCTTGAGATCCGAACGCTGCTGATCCACCTGGTACCATTCCGCAGTACTCTACTTCTCCACAAAATAACGCCACGACGCTCTGAGTCGAACTCCCGGACTCTAGCGACTGGAATCCCCGCGTAACTGTTCCTCTACTCGTTGATCTACGTGTTGTCTTACATCAGGCATCCGGCAAACTTGGAATCAGTCCACACGGTCAACTCCATGGGGTGCTCTTGGTACAAATGCTGATGCCCACGCTTGGAAGTGTTTGCACGATCTGGCAAGGCCTCCCCATGCCCCTCGGGTTGGAGCTGACAGAGGGCGCCCAAGATCTTTGGCCGAAAACGGCATGTCTGAACAATGATGTGCAATATCGCTGACTCGGGCCAACAAAGCTTGTATGCCTTAACTGCATGGCCTAGCAGTGGTTCCGGATCCTCCTTGTTTAGCCCAATTCTTCTACGCATATCTCTGCGTCTCTCCGATCTGCCATGTGCCATGACCCGTCGCGATTCCATTCTACACATCGGTTGGGGATCACGGTTGGCAATTAATCTTCTGGTCCTGGGCCGAGTCTGTCTCGGATTCTAACTTCGAACTTCGAACCAGTCAAGATCCACATCGCTGCCCAATGGAATTAAAACCTCCCCATGCACTGTTGGCCAGCTTCGCCGTGCCTTCCACGCAAACGCAAATGGTGATGCCTTTCCGTTGTCAGAACCAATGTCCCGCACGAAGTCCACGTGGCAGTCTTCCTAGATGTTGGCAGAGTTCCCGGGTGCCATGTATAAATTGACTTGAGCGAACTTCCACGCATGCCTGGTTCACGACCTTTTCGGGGTAACCTGATGAAGACGTTCTTCTTGACCTGGGCGCTACATTTTGCCCGCCGAACATCAATGCATCCCAGCTTGGGTCCTCTCTTGCGCAACCCGCGGTTATATCCTATTCCCTCGGTGACGGCAATGAAGAACAAGTGTTTTCAAGCTCCAAGTGGAGGGGTGGGTGCAAATGTGTTCTTGCCCTCATAATTGTCATTAACTTGAGGTGCCGCAATCCGTGATCGGCGATCAGCGTTGGCCTCGCCTCCCTCGTAATCTATCCACCTCGCACTTCTTGAAGCTTTACCCGCAACAACAAAGCAATCCTGACTTGCCCCACCTCCTCCTTCCGAACATTAAACATGAGTCCTGGGTCAAACTTACTTCCTGATACATCGTCCCAAGCCCGTGCGCCATTTTCGTTGTGAACTACGCAAATGTCATCCCGGCTAACTGGCTGTGCTTCATCGGCGTTTCCACGTGCCTCAGATGTTTCTGGAACTCTCAACCGGCCCCGTTGTTGGCACGTTCCTCAAATCCACTGATATGGCTGGATGTCCTGGGTAACCTGGTAAGTAAAACGGGTGCCGAAATTGCGTGCGCCTGACCCTTGCCGCATCGCCTTACTGCTTTCTTAATTCCGCTCGCATGTTGAACGACGTCCAAGCTTGCGCCGGGTAGCCATTCCGCCACATCCGCGCCAAATCCATCATGTTTAAACCGGTACGTACCTCATCGGTGTTCATGCTGTTTGGCTTTTCTTTCTCCTGTTCGGGCCCGTTTTCTCCCATGTTTTCGTCGTCGGACTCCTCGCTTTCTCCGGCTCCTGTGTCTTCTTTGTTCGGGCCCAATGACTCGACTGGCGTGCTAGGCCCCCCTTCCTCCCTTGCGACAAAAGATGTGTCGCGCATGCGTCGCCCGTGTGTCGGCCGCCGAAAAAAGCCAGCCGTCTCCGCGAACATGCATGTCGCCCTCGCAATGGAGTCCTCTGGCGAGTGCGTCGCCAGTTGGCGGGCACCCGCGAGGCGGATCGCACGCGCGTCGCCCGCTTGACGGCCGCCGAAAACGCCAGTCGCCTTCGAGGAAAAGCAGGTCGCCCTCACAACAATCCTCTTGGTGAGAAGGTGGCTGCTGGGCGACCTCGGCAGACTACCGAACCCCACTACAGTTGTAGTGCCGTGGTGCTACTGAACGCACTCTGGCGCTAGGCAAGCAGGTCCCCGCAGCCGCCGCCACAGCCACAGTGACCGCCGCCACTGCCATGACGACCATCGCCACGATCATCACCAACGGCCGCGACCACAACCGCGACGATTGCGACCACCACCAAGCGACCTCGACCACCACCACGACCACCACGTTTTTCGCGACCGCCACCACGACCGACAGTAGCACGATCACCAACGTGACCACCACTAGCCCGCCCGCCACCAGCACCACGACAGCGACCACGACGACCACCGCGACAATCACGACCACGACCACGATCACCAACGTGACCATTACAATCGTCCCACCGCCTCCCGACCTCCTTCCTCTCCCTCCCTTTCCCCTGCCAGGCCGCCCCTGCCGCCGCAGTCGTTTCGCATCCCTGCCACTCACCCCTCCTAGTTGTTCCATACCATTTTTCTTCCTCCACTAGCGGCGGGGCCCTTCGCTGAAGGCGGGGGCCCCGCTCGCGGCCCCGCGCCGTGGCCGCGGGGGGGGGTGGCCGAAGGAGAAAAACATGAAGGGATAAAAGGGGATGGTGAGGGGTAAGAAATGACGAAGGAATGGCGAGGATGGACAGGCAGGGTGAAGCGGAGAAAGAGGAGGATGAAAAGGGAAGGAGGGAGGGAGAGTAGGGGGGAGGAAGGCTGAATGCGGAAAACTGACGGAGGAGGGAGGACGAGGAAGGAGGAAGGGGAGCAAGAGGGGCGAAGCACCTTCCTTCCTGGAGGAATTGAAGACGCAGCCGCCGCCACTTTCGAACAGCGCACTTTTGGGGCAACACTAAGAAGCGCAAGGTCGAGTGCGCGTCGCGTATGCGTCGCGCGTATGTCGCGCGTGCGTCGCGCGGGTCGCTCGTGCGTCGTGCGCAGGCGGGGGTGCGTCGCGCGCGGGTCGGGGTGCGTCGCGCGCACGTCGCGCGCGCGCGCGCGTCGCGCGCGTCGCGCGCGTATCGCGCGTGCGTCGCGAGTTCGTCGCTCGGGTGGTTTGTGCGTCGCGCGCAAGTCGCGACCGAATCGCCCGAAAGGCGCTGTGGACCTATGACGGCGTGTGAACTGGACGGCTCGCCGGCGAAACAAGTCAGGAATGTGCGCGACAATCGCAAGCGTATCGAAACGCGCACGCGAAAACCACAAGCGCGAACAGGCCCGAAGACGGCGCGGAGCTGCACCGCGCGCGGGGGAACATCAGCTGGAGTCGTAAAACGCGGCAGGATTCGAGCACTGATCCATCGGTGTAGCAACTTGGCGGCCACTCGCCCGCCGATTTTTTTTTGGGGAAAGCGGAGGATGGGCATCGAAGCGGGTGGCAGGCAGGATAAGGATAAAGATCAAGTCCTGTCAGGGTGGCCCGCGCGGGGCAGGACCTTCATTGAGGTCTCAATTGTCGAACTTGGCCTCCGCCGCCCAGTTCACGAACTCGCCCGCCGATGCTTAGGGGAAACAAAAGGATGATGGGAGGCGAAGGGGGTGGCCGGAGCGGGGGACAGGGAGCGGATGGGGCGAGGATGGGGGCAGGTGGGGACGGCGCCGCGGCGGCGGGAGCGTCGGGGGGGGGGCAAGCGGAGGAAGGCGGCGGGAGCGAGGAGGGGGAGAGGGAAGATCCAGGGGCGTCGACCTCCCGCCTGGATTTCAAGGGCTTGCTGGAGGTCGGGCGAGGCGCCTGCCCTTGTCTGCCCGCGGTGACCGCGGGCCCCTGACGCCACGGGTGGCGCGCCCAGCGGCTTGCTCAGAAAAAGTTCCAGGGGGGTGTGGGGGCGGCAGCCTGACAAGCCAAAACTACGTTGAGTTTCGCACGCAAGGTTGATCGCGCAGTGCGTTCGACGAGGAGGGAAGCAAGGAAGGAGGGGGAGGGGCGCCGTGCCTGCCTCTCCCTTCGCTCCGTGCTTCCTCCCTGCCCCTCTCGCCGTCACGCTGGCCATGCAAAGGTCCTCTTGCCTGTAGCCTGAACCCGCTATTGTTGCACATGCGTTCCTGCTGCTTTCGACCGCCACTTCTGACAATGCATGTTCGGACGCTCTTCAAAAAACCAAGCGTTCAGCTCATTGATCTGCGCGTTCCAGACACGCAAGGCGTGCTGGAGCCTCCGTCACTCAGACAAGGTGGCGGTGTCGGCGAAACGGTCGTGTATCGTACGCACGTGCGCAGGCTTTGAAACTACGATTGCTGTTGTCCATGTTGTGTGACGGCTGTGCTATCCGCGCGTGCTGGTGGAAAGTAGCTGTTGGGCGACATTTTCGTCTGCATGAATCAGACTTCGTATGCCGATGATTTGTCAGCCCAAGCGAAGCGCGGCTCTTCATACACACGGCGGATGCGGACGCATGGTGAGGCAGAATCCGCTTGACTGTTTCCGCGTGCCGCCCACACGTGCTAGCCAGCTCAGCTTGCTGCCAAGCGCGCCTGGCCCTCCTACTTTGCGGGGCAGCAGTTCTCTTCGAAAGAGCAGACTCAAGGCAATCGTGACACCGCTGTCGCAGCCGCTGGGGTGGGCGGCAGACAGTTCACAAGCTCCGACAGGGGCTCCCTCAGGCGGCACATTAGAGACATCTCCTCTGAGCCCACGGCTGGTGCAGTGCTCTGCGTGTGTTGCGTTGGTGTGTCGTGGTGCGTCACGCACTGCGCTTCCAACCAGCCATGACGCACTGGCGCGACTGTCGGAAGCAACGCCACCCGGCTGGTCATCGGCCGTCCGTTCGGCGTGCAGCAGGAGTGAGTGAATGATGAGCTTTGCACGTCAGACGAACCTGTTACATTCAAGTTGTCCGCGTCTTCATGGAAGTCGTCAATTATGTGGGCTGGCTCGACATGCAACTACTATTGGAGCATACCCCTATCATCATCCGTTTCCTGGGGCGGAAACGCGGCGGTAACCATGGAACGGATAAAATAAGATACGGCGAGGATGTGCAGAAAACAGGGTGCCTCATAACACGACAAAGAAGAAAGGCGCGCTGTTCGCCTGGTACGTGCTCCTAGCAAGCACAAATGTGGCAGTCCCCTCTTACAGGAGGCGGAAAGCGGATGTAAGATAAGGGAGGGGGAATAGCCATATAACACAACGCGACACGGCACGCACACTACAAGCCATGTTATCTGATTGCACTGTGAGTGGTGTGCTCGCTCCTGCTCACGGCAGCGCGCATCGATGCGCCTGCGTCTCCACAAGACTGATCGGAGGGAACTGGCGTGGTGGACCTCGGACATTGGAGGATACAATAGTGCACATGCCACCCTCTTTGTACAAAGACTGGCCTGGCCCGTGCCGCCACCGACGCATGAGGTAGCCAGAAGGAGTCGAGGTTACCACAGACTAATTTCCCTTACTCGTGCAACATGACTAAGAAAAGAAGGACATGAAGGGGAAGGGGGAATCGGGAGAAGGAGGGGACGGGAGAGGAAGGGCCATGGACCATGGAGAGGGAGAGGAAGAGGGAGGAGGAGCAGCCGGAGGACGAGGCGGTGAGGGGGAGGATGGGGAACAGCGGCAGGAGTGCACGCGCGACCCGAGGACGGACGCCACCAGCGCCCCTCCCCTCCCACCACCTCCCTCCACACCCTCGAGGGCGCGTCGACGAGCGCCCATCCCTCACAGTCACCCCCTCCTCCCTCCCTGCCCCGCATCGAGGGCGGCGCCGACGAGAGCCGCGCGCGAGCGGCGGCCGAGGCACGGCCTTGGCGCCCATGCCCTTCACGAATCTGCCTATCTCGTCCTGCCGCGAGCGGAGAGGATGCATTGCAACATCGTCGATGCATCTTAAATCTACTCTGGTCCTCTCCCCTGCCCCTCCTCCTCCTCCTCCTCCTCCTCCTCCTCCTCCTCCTCCTCCTCCTCCCTCCGCCTCCTCCTCCTCCTCCTCCTCCTCCCCTCTCCTTGCCTTGCTCGGGGGGGGGGGGGGCGCACCGATCCGCGGGGCACCGAACACCCAGGTCACCCACCGTCGCGCGATCGTCTCCGAGCCCTCGCGCCGCCCCCCCAGGAGAAGGCCAGCGGACCGACCCCTGCCCGCGGCGTGCGCGAAGCGCTGTTGCCTTTTCGCGCCTCCGCGGGCGACCTTGAGAACTCCCGCGAGGCCGCCCCCTCCTCCTCCTCCTCCTCCTCATATTCTCCTCCTCCTCCTCCTCCTTCTCCTCCTCTTCCCCCCGCCTCCTCCGCCTC